GCCACACAAAGTATGTGATTTTTCAGGGAAGCTTAATCTCACAGATTTGATATACCTCGTCTGCACCGAGAGTAACAACAATTTCCTGAGATAAGGAGCTAGTCCAGAACCATCCATTGAACTCCATGTGCCAAGACATAATGGTCATGCTCAAATGTTGGGTGTGTGGTTTCATGGGACGTCCATATAATTTAGGATAAGTTCACAAGTAAAGTGTTTTATTAGTTTCAGTAAGAACTTTCTCTAAAAACGGTTTTTAACAATGGCGTGTCTGCAACAGCGGGCGAGTGGTGGCGACGGCCAGTGGTGGCACGGGAAGGACCATCTTTCCGTAGACGAAGAGGAAGTTTGGAAGAATTTATGAGATCCCGAATAATTTTGTGTGCGTTTTATAAACTTCTTCTTCTTTATTCATTCATAAGTAAACTAGCATTGTTTACAAGTAAAGGAATACCCTCATTAGGGGCGTTATCCATCCAAACACTTAGAGAAGAAAACCTAGCTAACCTTACTAGTACATGAGCTACTCGATTACGTTCCCTATTACAATGATCATAAGTGACATGGAAAAACCTAATGACAAGAAATAACAATCACTATAATGGATGAAGCGACTGAAGAAGAGTAGCCTTGGCTCAACGCATGCATCACCTCCACACTATTCGAATTCACTCCAATCTTACTGCATCCGGCGGTATTAGTAAGATCCAAACAAAACCTCACTGCAATTGCTTCTGCTGTGAACGAGTCGAAGCAAAGGTCCATCTTTTCATTAGCAGCCGCTATAAATTCCCCCCTATGGTTCCGGATAACCGCTCCAAATGTTGCTGCGAGTGTGTCACTATCAAATACCGCGTCAACATTTAATTTCACGTAACCATACTTTGGTTTCACCCAAGCATCTGAACAGATGTGAGCCTTTGGGCTATAAGAGATGGTATAATTTGCTACTAAGCCTCTCATTGACATATTGATTTGATATGCACTTTGAGTTTCTTCGTCATGTGTCAATTTTCACCTTTCATACCACAAATATCAAGTCGTTGTTGCCATCGTTTCTCTGAACTTCGGCAAGCCCAACACTTGAATTTGTTGTTCTGAAAGACACAAAAGATGTGCCAACACAAGCTTATCTGCCTTGTCAACTTTCAGTGCATGTTTGATAACAAGCTCAAGACCGAGCATCTTCCACACGTCCATTGTCAATTTGCATTCGAACAACATATGTCTTATGTCATCAGGCCCCTGTTACAGGCTGGACAACTCGAATTTATTTTCAAGTGCTTATTAGCCAGGATAGATCGACAGGGAATAGCACTCTGGAGCGCGTGCCACATAAATATTTTTATTTTTTCTGGGCAGACTAAGTTCCATACTGAGGCCCATGTATAAGATGGGTTTGAACCTCCAGCCGTTAATTCCAACTTGTGCCCAAATTAAAATTCCCATTCTGTATGACATGCAGATCGCACCGTGAAAGTCCCTGACTTAGACATGTTCCATGCCAGAAAATCTGTCATCTCATGTAATGATAGTGGAATGGCCAAAATCCTTCATGTATATATTTTGTGTGTTTACGAAACTGCTGGAGAGTTTTCTTTTGTCTATTTTCTCATAAAACCAGACTTTTCTTTCGGATACGAAGCAACTCTGACTGTTTGGCAGTGCCGGAGACCGAAGAGGCAAGCGGCGATTATCAAAAAAAGAAAGAAAAGCTGACTTCCCTCACGGCCTCACCAAAGTCAGGCTGGCCAGTTTGCTGGAAACTCATAACGGTACGTGCCGAGTCAAACATTACCACCGTGTCACGTAGGGCAAGCATGAAATTTCAGCGGCTGCGTTTTTTCAGCACTAATTGTCAACCATGACAACCCCAGCCCTAACCCACCGAGTGATGGGCTGAAGATGTATGGTAGCCGTATCTCTCTGGAACAAAGGTACACTTATCTTACTCCCTCCATTTCACAATGTAGTGCTTCCTCTATTCCCGTGTTTTAACTTTGACCGTAAATTTAACTACCAAAACCGATTGTGCTGAGAGCAAAAATTATATTAGCGAATTCGTATTCGAAAGAAGTTTTCAATTATATAATTTTTTCTCCCGCCGCAGTTTGTCTTGTTGGTTAAATTTATGGTCAAAGTTGAATCTCGAAAAGCACGGTCGCACTATATTTTGAAATGGAGGGAGTACTCATCAGTATTGGCCGTCGCCTGTCGCATCAGGAAACCCACGACCGTTCCCGGCGAGCTGCCGTCCAGCCTTTTCTTTTCGTATCAATTTTGCTTGTACGTAACGGGGAAAGCAACCGGTTGCTATTGCAGTCGTGACGCCCTCTCCTCCACGGCAAAATGCAGCAGCCGGATGCTTATTTTGGCTAGTCCGACCTATTTTTAGGACGCTTCTCTTCTCTATATGCTGGGGAGTCTGTGGCTCGCAGGCTGCTCATCATAGAAAAAAAAGAACGTGAAACGCAGGCTGCGTACGCTGCTGGAGTGAAGCTCGCAAACGTAGACGCGGTTGACGTTCACGTACCAATTCGCAACGTGCACGCGCCGACTGCAGTTTGACCAAGCCCTCGTTGGACTTGGAAGAAAATGGTCAGACGCTCACACAAAGGGGTCACGTCAGTCACTCCCCCCGGGCCATCCGGAGAACCCTATATAAACAGCAGCGAACCATCGGAAGCTTGACATCGATCACACGGGCTAGCCACAGAGCAACGAACTCGGGTCATCAGCAACGAACCATGGCGCGGGTGCTGGCTCTCGGCGCCGCCGCGGCTTTCCTCCTCCTGGCAGTGGCATCGACCATGGCGGCCGCGCAGAACTGCGGGTGCGCCGCGACCGAGTGCTGCAGCCGCTGGGGGTTCTGCGGCACCACCGGCGAGTACTGCGGCACGGGCTGCCGCTCGGGCCCCTGCACCGTGCCCGTCACCAACAACGTGTCCGTGCCCGCCATCGTCACGCCGGCCTTCTTCGGCGCGCTCGTCGCCCAGGCCGCCGACGACTGCGCCGCCAAGGGCTTCTACACCCGCGACGCCTTCCTCACGGCGCTCGGCGGCTACCCCGCTTTCGGCCGCACCGGCTCCGACGACGACTCCAAGCGCGAGATCGCCGCCTTCTTCGCCCACGTCAACCACGAGACCATAAGTAAGCTCACCACGCACGCCGACAGTTCACCACGCTTATATATATATATATATGTAGCCCCGAGCCCTGACCATGATGAGCTTGTACTACTACGAAATGATTTGCAGAGTTCTGCTACATCGACGAGATCAACGGGCCGAGCAAGAACTACTGCGACCCGACGAACGCGGAGTGGACGTGCGCCGCCGGGAAGGGCTACTACGGCCGCGGGCCGCTGCAGATCTCGTGGAACTACAACTACGGGGCGGCGGGGCAGAGCCTCGGCTTCGACGGGCTCAACGACCCGGACGCGGTGGCGCGGAGCCCCGTCCTGGCGTTCCAAGCGGCGCTCTGGTACTGGATGAACAGCGTGCACGACATCATCGTCTCCGGCCAGGGGTTCGGCGCCACCATCAGGGCCATCAACGGCGCGCTCGAGTGCAACGGCAAGAACCCCAGCGCCGTCAACGACCGCGTCGCCTTCTACAAGCAGTTCTGCCAGCAGTTCGGCGTCGACCCGGGGACCAGCCTCACCTGCTAATTAAGCTCACTGTTTAGGACATCGCGTGGACTTGGTTGTGGCATATGTGCGTGCATCTGATTCGGACAGACATATTCAGGATAAGATTGCTTTCGGATTTGACACTATACTTCTTAATTTGATAATTTTTGGACGCCGATATTGACCTGACGTTCGGTCTGGCGACCACCCACCAAAGGTTCATCATCAGGAAAGAAGCTATCGATCGAACGAGATCGTTCCATTCGGTCTTCTTGTAGCGCGAACACGAAGCCTTAGGTACATGACTTTAAATACGTAAAACAAAAATACAAATAAAAGCAATGATTTCTATACTAAAAAATCCCATGAAGTTCAGCATGGATCCGATGAAAAAATGGCTTAAAAACTATATTTACAAAAAAAAGGCACTTAGAGTAGAGAAAACAAAAACTAAAAAAATGGCATGCATGAAAAATGTCATTCAAACTTAAGTTGCCAATGTGTTTTCATGATATGATGCAAAAAAAAGAAGGAATAAAAATGTAAAAAAAAAAGAGTGTCATGATAACAAAATTGACGTAGTGTGTTTAAATTTGCCATGGTGTTCAAAAAATTGAAATGTGCCATGGTGCAAAAAAGAAAAATTGTGACGCTATGAAAATAAATTGCCATGGTACAAAAGTAAAAGAAAAGGAGGGTAGACGTGGCACAGTGATGAAGTCCTCCTCACTTGTGCCAAGAGGTCCTAGGTTCGAACCAGTCTCTCTGCATTGCAATGTAGCAGGGGTAAGACTAGCACTGGCGGAGCTTCGTGAGGGCAAAAGCGTGCCATGGCCCGCCCAGCCCCAGCAGGTAATACGTACATATACTACTTACAGCCCAGCCCACGACTGCATCTCTCGCTCGCAGCACCACCTCGTCACGCTTCTCTCCTTCGCATGCAGCCACGATCGCTCTATGCCCTCCCCCCCTCGATTCCTCATCTTATACAGCAGAGTGCAGAGTAGCTGACTGATACTAGTGCATGGGTCACGCGTGCAGCCGCGCGAAGGGCCAGAGAGAGGTGGCCGGGAGCCGTGAGGGTCGAGCTCCCAGTCCCACCATCACAACGAGTAGCAGGTTCGAGCCCATACCCCAGGCGGGTCCCTAGCAGGGGCCAGCTGGGGGATGAGCACCGCTACATAGGCACATCATTGTTGTTGTTCAGGGTTCAGTAGAGTTTTAGGTGTTGAAAGTTTCAGTTTCGACTGTAGCTACATTTCTTTAGTTTCGTCAGAAATAACCGAGCTGCGACTCGACCGTAGCTAGCTAGGATTGCGGCACCCTGACCCGATCATGGAATCGCACGATGAAACGGTCATGGTGCCATGACATGCGACGAGCAGGGAGTACTGGGATGGCGGTACTCACGACCCGAACATGCCTGTTTTTTCGTTTTCCGTTGAAGTCTGTAACGACTGAATAAAAGAAGAGAAACAGTAAAGCTACATATAGTTCGCAGAGCAAAGACCTCCCTCTCTCGTGTGCTCACTCTTTCTTCCATAACTCTGGTGATCGCCGGAGTTCCAGCTTGGCAGGGTTCGTCCGGTAATCACTACATAATTGCCATGGACAACAAGGCTAATCAACGCAGAGATTTGATTCTCAATAGAAAAAGAGATGATGTGATTACATATGAAGTTTAGGAAGACTTCTGAGCAGCAGCTCATCATCCTTTGCTTGAGTTGATTTTTTTTGTGTGTTTTCTTTTATCTTGGCCCGCCCAGGATTTTTTTTTGTAGCTCCGCCACTGAAGACTAGGTTCCTGTAATCCCTCCCCACACACCACCTTGTGTTGGAGTTTCTATGCATTGGGTCTGTCCTTTTACAAAAGTAAAAGAAAAAATTGCCGTGATAGATAATGAAAAACAAGATACCATGGGTTGTTTTAGTAAGATTTGCCATGGTTTAAAAAAATAAATTCGCCATCGTATTTAAAAGCAAATCTTGCCATGCTCAAAAGATTATTTTCAAAGGCAGAAAAAGGAAAATAGCCGTGCCAATTTGCATTTGTATAAGGTGGCAAAAATGTTGGTTAAAGTGTACCATTTTTTTAGTAATAATTTCCATGTTTCATAAAAGTAAATTTACCATGGTCCATGGAAAAGATTTTCCATGAACATTGAAAAAGTGAACTTGCCATGGATGTAAAGTACATTTACCATGGCAATAAAAGGATGAATGTCATGAAAAATTAAAAGGTAAATTTTCCATGAGTGATAAAAATTAATTTTCCATGTATGTGAAAGTAAAATTGCCGTGGAGAATATAGCAAAATTCTCCATGAAAAAATAAATTAATATCTGACATGTCACTAAAAGTAAAATTGCCATGGCAAAAGTAGACTAAACTTTGCCATGGAAAATGAAGTAAATTTTCCATGGAAAATGAAGTAAGTCTGCCATGCTACAAAATAAATTTGACATGTTCTTATAAGGAAAAATTCTTATGAAGATGAAATTTTCATATATTTATCGCGTGACTATTCTAAAAAAATGTTTGAAATTATGCTACGAGGTACGAGACACACTTTGGCATTGTCCAAAAAGAAAGAAAAAAGTTGCCACGGTCGATTACGTGAATTCGCCAGGGACCATAGAAAAAAAGAAGGTCGACATTGTCATAAAAAAAGGAAATTTGCATGGGCCATGAAGTGAATTTGCCATGGGCCATAAAACTGAATTTGCCATGACAAGTTTTTTTTATAAAACTGAGCCTTGTAAAAAAGTGTGGTTGTGGCATGGCAAGGGTTGTATTGGTGAAATGGCAAAGTCTATATTGATGACATGGCAACAACTAAAAACTATTGCCATGATAAAAGCTATAGATTTTCCATAAACGATTGAAAAAGTAAATTTGCCATGGATGTAAAGTACATTTAATAAAAGCTATAGATTTTCCATGAACAATTGAAAAAGTAAATTTGCCATGGATGTAAAGTACATTTATCATGGCAATTAAAATGTCAATTTGCCATGGAAAAATTCAAAAGTAAATTTGCCATGAGTGATAAAAAGTTAATTTACCATGTATGTGAAAGTAATTTGTCGTGGAGAATATAGTAAAATTTGCCATCGCAAAAGAAAGTAATATTTTCCATGTCTTTAAAAGTAATTAGCCATGATATTATCTAGAAGTTTAGTAGCTTCTCCTAATGTAATTTTCATAAAAGTACCTCCTGGACGGAATCTAAAAGATTTCTAGATGCAAAATTCAATTCGGCGTAAAATTTTTGTATGATCATCCATAAACTTAAACCATGAGTAGGGCAATTTCTTATCATCAATTTCACCCTCTCCCAAGATTGTGCAACATGTTCATTACCAAGTTACTTAAAATTCATTATATTGTTCCTAAGGGCGATAATCTTAGCGGGAGGAAAATACTTGGAAATAAAAGCATCTTTGCACTTATTCCATGAATTAATACTATTTTTAGGCAAAGATGAAAACCAAATTTTAGCACGATCTCTTAGTGAGAACGAAAATAACTTCAATTTAACAATGTCATTATGCACATCTTTTTTCTTTTGCATATCACAGAACTCAACGAAAGTATTTAGATGGGATGTGACATCTTCATTAGGAAGGCCAGAAAATTGATCTTTCATAACAAGATTCAGCAAAGTGGCATTAATTTTATAAGTTCCGCACTAGTGGCGGGAGTAATCAGAGTACTAATAAAATCATTATTATTAGTATTTGATACGTCTCCATCGTATCTACTTTTCCAAACACTTTTGCCCTTATTTTGGACTCTAACTTGCATGATTTGAATGAAACTAATCCGGACTGACGCTGTTTTCAGCAGAATTGCCATGGTGTTATTTTGTGCAGAAATAAAAGTTATCTGAATGACCTGAAAATCAACGGAGATTATTTTTGGAATATATAAAAAATACTAGCGAGAGAATCAACGTCAGGGGGCCCACACCCTGTCCACGAGGGTGGAGGGCGCGCCTTGATAACCCACAAGTATAGGGGATCACAAAAGTTTTCGAGGGTAGAGTATTCAACCCAAATTTATTGATTCGACACAAGGGGAGACAAAGAATATTCTCAAGTATTAGCAGCTGAGCTGTCAATTCAACCACACCTGGAAACTTAATATTTGCAGTAAAGTATTTAGTAGCAAAGTAATATGATAGTAGTGATAACGGTGGTAAAAATAACGGTAGCAGTTTTGGTTTTATACTGATTGTAACAGTAGCAACGGAAAAATAAATAAGCGAAGAACAATATATGAAAAGCTCGTAGGCAATGAATCGGTGATGGATAATTATGTCGGATGCGATCAATCATGCAACAGCTATAACATAGGGTGACACAGAACTAGCTCCAGTTCATCAATGTAATGTAGGCATGTATTCCGAATATAGTCATACATGCTTATAAAAAATAACTTGCATGACATCTTTTGTCCTACCCTCCCGTGGCAGCGGGGTCCTATTGGAAACTAAGGGATATTAAGGCCTCCTTTTAATAGAGTATCGGACCAAAGCATTAACACATAGTGAATACATGAAATCCTCAAACTACGGTCATCACCGGTAAGTATCCCGATTATTGTCACTTCGGGGTTAACGGATCATAACACATAATAAGTGACTATAGACTTGCAAGATAGGATCACGAACTCACATATATTCATGGAAACATGATAGGTTCAGATCTGAAATCATGGGACTGGGCCCTATGACAAGCATTAAGCATAACAAAGTCATATCAACATCAATCTCAGAGCATAATGGATACTAGGGATCAAACCCTAACAAAACTAACTCGATTACATGATAATTCTCATCCAACCCATCACCGTCCAGCAAGCCTACGATAGAATTACTCACGCACGTCGGTGAGCATCATGAAATTGGTGATGGAGGAAGGTTGATGATGACGATGGCGACGGATTCCCCTCTCCGGGGCCCCGAACGGACTCCAGGTCAGCCCTCCCGAGAGAGTTTAGGGCTTGGCGGCGGCTCCGTATCGTAAAACACGATG